CGAGCAAAGTTTTTTGTACAGAGGCTGGTAGGTGCCTGAACCACAGTGTCATGGGAGGTGATTGAAGCAGATACGATAGCCAAGTTTAAGAGGCATTTGGACGGATAGATGAACAGGCACAGAGTAGAGGCATATCGACCACGTGCAAGCATATGGGATTAGTTTAGAAGGGCATCATGGACAGGACAGGCCTGGTGAGCCAAAGGGCCTGTTTCTGTGCTGCACTTTCTATGTTCTACGTTCTTAAACAAGTCACCCTAAACCCGTGTCCTCTAGTAGCTGACCGCTCTAGCGGGGTAAACAGGAATTCTCTGTTCCCTGTATCCTTATTAATGTATTTGAACACCTCAATTATGTCACCCTTCAACCTCCTCTGTTCTGAGGAAAATAACCTTGGCCTATCTAATCTTTACTTAGAGCTGCAATTTGAAAGCCCTGGCAACATTTTTGTTTGTTTGTCAGGGAATGGACACAGCTTGGGGGCAATCACGATTTTAAGCAGGTGACCAACAAGATGTGTTAACCTACGCTGTCATTGATATCAACCTTTCAGCTTTCTGTGTCACATTATGTTCAGTAACTCAACATTGGAAGGCGTGAAAATTATTCTCATCCTTTTATTCAAATCCTTTCATGGCCTCACTTATGCCCACCTACGTAACCTTTGTTAGCCTTACAACCTCTGAGATCTCCACACCTCTGCTTGCTAACCCAGCCATTCTCCATTTGTGACTGTGCCTTCTATCTGAAACCATTCTTGAACCAAGCTTTGGTCAGCTTCCATCTGTGGCTATATCTAGTTTTTAACTTCCTGATATTCCTGAGAAGTATCTTGGTATATTTAACTGCATTAAAGATGCTATGTAAAGGGATGTTCTCGGTTAACAGTCCAAGTGACTTACATACTGGCACTCATTCATTCCGAGGAAGTAAATGGAACCCCAGTAATGCCACCAAAATTAGAACCTTCCAACAAGTGGGAATTACTCAACACAACTATCCGTCCCAGTAATTTACAGCAAGAAATGCCAAGTAAGCATGTCAGGCTACTGTTAACATTTTTGATTACCCTGCTCAATTAATGTGATAATGTAATGTAATGTAATAATGTGGAGATGCTGGTGTTGGATTGGGGTAGACCCTTGTCATGCGACTCATACCTATCATGTTATTGCGGCCATTTGGTTTATCTCCTGCACCATCTTATTTTAATTTAGTGTAATTATCTCTCTGCCTCAATTAATCAGATCATAGGTCATCCCTTCACTTGCTATTTAACTGTTGGCACTTTACTCACACCATTTGACACTTTTGATCAGGTGCAAAGACTTGCCATTCAGCCTGTCAACACTGCACTCACACTATTTGTACCATCTTTTGACGCTCTTAATTACCTGGAATTATCTTGCAATGATCTCTCCGCTTGTACATTCTGTGCCTGTGCGCATCCCTCCACTTCACCCGATGAAGGAGCAGCACTTTGAAAGCTTGTGGCTTCAAATAAACCTGTTGGATTATAGCCTGGTATTGTGTGACTTCTGACATTATTTTTAAAGATTTGATTTCTGGGGATTTGGATATTTATTGCTCTTACAATGGAGACACTTAGAAGTCAAGCACAAAGTGTGGGACTTGGGATCACACGTAGAAAAGCCCAGGAGATCTGCCAAGTCCTTCCCCTTAAGAACACATGTGAACAGGCTATATGTTGTCGGTAACTTGGTTGTTTTTTGGTACCAACCCAAAAATTACCAGATTTAATGATTCATTTCACAAATTGCTATGCAGGGATTATAAACTTCGAAGTTCTGGGCTGCAGATCAAATTCTATGGCTACCACACCTCAGAAGGAGCTCAGTAAACAATTTCTAATCAGTTTGGATTGACAATTGCAAATTAACATGCATGCCACGCTCATGCCAGGCAATGACCACAACAAACAAAAGAGAATCTAACCATTGCCCTTTGACATTCAGTGGCCTTACCATTACTGAATCCCCAACTATCAACTATCTAAGCGTTACCATTGACTGGAAACTGAACTGGACTAGCTATGTAAATACTATGTCTATAAAAGAAGGTCAGAAACTAGGAATTTTTCAATGATTGCAAAACGATTTTGCAGGACATTGGTTATGCCACTTTTGGAACACTGCATTCAATTCTGGTCTCCCTGCTGAAGGAAGGATGTTGTGAAACTTCAAGCAGGTGGGGAGGGTTCAGAAAAGATTTACAAGCATGTTACCAGGGTTGGAGGGTTGAGAGGCTGAATAGGCTGACGCTGTTTTCTCTAAAGTGTTGGAGGCTGAGGGGTGACCTTATAGAAGTTTGTAAAATCATGAGGGGCATGGATAGGGTGAATAGCCAAGGTCTTTTCCTCAGGGTAGGGGAGTCCAAAATTAGAGGGCATAGATTTAAGGTGAGGGGGAAAGATTTAAAAGAGACTAAGGGGCAACCTTTTCATGCAGAGTGTGGTGCATGTATGAAATGAACTGCCAGAGGAAGTGGTGGAGGATGCTACAATTAAACTCATTTACAAGGCATCTGGATGGGTACATGAATAGGAAGGGTTTAGAGAGATATGGGCCAAACGCTGGCAAATGGGACTAGATTTATTTAGAATACTGGTCAGCATGGACTAGTTGGACCGAAGGGTCTGTTTCCATGCTGTACAGCTCTATGACTCTGTGATTAACTCACCTCCTGACTCCTCAAAGCCCGTCCACCATCTGCAAGGCACAAGTCAGGAGTATGATGGAATATACCCCATATGCTTGGATGGTGCAGCTCCAACAATACTTAGGAAGGTTGACACCATTCAGGACCTAACAGCCCACTTGATTGGCACCATATACACCATATTCAATACTCACTCTCTCCACACAGTAGCAGCAGTGTCTACCATCTATGAGATGCATTGTGATAGTGGCATTTTGGTCTACCTTGAGCACATGGATGGCAGCGGTTCAAGAAGGCAGCTCATCACCACCTTCTCAAGGACAACTAGGGACAGGCAATAAATGCTGACCCAGCCAGTGACGCACACGTACCACGAATTAATAATAAATATTCAAGCTTCAGCAATCGGTCAGCTAGTAGCTAGTGTAGGGAGACACACACATTGGTCTAAGAGTTTCTCACACATAACCATTTTCAAAAAACAGACAGAAAACAAAAGACTTGCACTTATAAAATGCTGTTTATGCCCTCATAATGTTCTAATGTATTTTTCAGGCAATGCAGTACTTTTTAAATGCAGTGACCTTTAGTTTGTAGGCAACAGAACAACCGATTTGCATCCAGCAAGACCACACAGACACGAGTGACATGAATGAATGGTGTGTTTGTGCTGTTTGGATGAGGGACCAATTTTGGTCAGGTCATCAGCTTTACATTTCCTGCAATGTACTATATGGTGCTACATTGCATTCACAGCAGAGAAACAAGCTGCTTGGGTCCAAAAGGTCCAGCCAATGTTTCGGTTCCACACGATTCTCCTCTCCACCTACTTCAGCAACATGTCTTTCTACTTATTACTCCTTTCTGTATTGGTTCGCTTCCCCTATATTTATTGCCTCAACACCTCCCTGTGATTAGAATGCACACTGCAACCACTCTCTTGGGGAAGATGCTCCTCCTGAATTTTCTAGTAGATTCATTAGTACCTTGCATTTATAGCTCTAGTATTATCCCCCCTCCTATGGGGGTGTAGAGATATGTCACTGGATTAGTAATCCAGCACCATAGACAAATGTTCTGGGGAAACGGGTTCAAATCCCACCATGTCACTGAAGATCTGGAATTACTGTAGCTAGTCTAATGGCGACGATGCAATCATTGTTGATTGTTGGAAAAATCAATCTGGTTCACTGATTTCCTTTAGAGAAAGAAATTTGCCATCTTTACTTAATCTGGAGAGCTGGGCTGAGAGGTGGCAAATGGAGTTTAATGCGGAAAAGTGTGAGGTGATTCACTTTGGAAGGAATAACAGGAATACAGAGTACTGGGCTAATGGTAAGATTCTTGGTAGTGTGGATGAGCAGAAAGATCTCGGTGTCCATGTGCATAGATCACTGAAAGTTGCCACCCAGGTTGATAGCGTGGTTAAGAAGGTGTACAGTATGTTAGGTTTTATTGGTAGAAGGATTGAGTTTCGGAGCCATGAGGTCATGTTGCAGCTGTACGAAACTCTGGCGCGGCCGCACTTGGAGGATTGTGTACAGTTCTGGTCACCGCATTATAGGAAGGATGTGGAAACATTGGAAAGGGTGCAGAGGAGATTTATCAGGATGTTGCCTGGTATGGAGGGAAGGTCTTATGAGGAAAGGCTGAGGGTCTTGAGGCTGTTTTCGTTAGAGAGAAGAAGGTTAAGAGGTGACTTGATAGAGACATACAAGATGATCAGAGGATTAGATAGAGTGGACAGTGGGAGCCTTTTTCCTCGGATGGTGATGGCTAGCACGAGGGGACATAGCTTTAAATTGAGGGGTGATAGATATAGGACAGATGTCAGAGGTAGGTTCTTTACTCAGAGAGTAGTAAGGGCGTGGAATGCCCTGCCTGCAAAAATAGTAGACTCGCCCACTCTAAGGGCATTTAAATGGTCATTGGATAAACATATGGATGATAATGGAATAGTTTAGTTTAGATGGGCTTCAGATTGGTTTCACAGGTCGGCGCAACATCGAGGGCCGAAGGTCCTGTACTGCGCTGTAATGTTCTATGTTCTATGTTCTATGGCTTCCATGTGACTCCAGACCCACAATAACAGGGCTCACTCTTTTAACTATCCTCCAGCAATTAAGAATGGACAAAGAATGTTGGCCCAGCCAGTGCTATCCTCATCCCATGGATAAATTGAAAATAATCAGCCTGTCACTACATGTTGATAGCCACATGAAATACGACTGCCAAAACCAGTTTTGTTTGATTGTTCAAGCTTCGGATAACAGATCTCACCAACACCAAAGTAAAGGTAAGCATGCACATTTTTTTTTTACCCATCTCATAGAGCTGCTGTGTGATGCTAGATGGTTCCAGTTCTGCAGCTAACTGTGTATCATCCTGGTTGGAAGCATTCACTGGTACTTCACTCTCATCCCCTGTTAGTGTGGAGCAGCACAAAATGAAGCTATAAGACAAACATTTCAGGACGAAACAATAAACAACTGACAAAAACAAACGTACATTCCCCCTGCAACCCCACAATACAAGGCCATTCTTGCATCAACTTCATTCCACAATCAGCAGGGTTGTGAATGCTGCTGCCTCTCTCTTTGCATTGAAGTGATGCAGAACTGCTCAGCCTTGCTAAGAAACCAATTTTGATTGGGAAATTAACCTATAGGCTGTGGATGCACAAAGAACATTGATACACAAATATGATCCACCAAAGTGCAGTACAGTACACTGAGACTTGAGTGAGGCCTGAAGCATAGCCCTGTTGGTGCTCAATACTCTGAATGTGCTGTCATTACTGTCTAATCCCTTAAAACACTTCATGAAACATCAGCATTGCTAAGTCATCTATAATAGTGACAGCTTCTCTCTAAAACAATACAATCTTACTGCTGTAGGACATATTGGCAACTCCTCTGCAACATAAGAACACTGCTGTCTCAAAAGATACCCATTTGGCAAAGCTGATCCAGTACTGATGGTACTGATTACAAGGTGCTTTCCCATTCTGTTGCAATGTCAATTTAATGCAGTATGCTGCTGATTCTGTGCTTTGCTGAGTACTAAGTTACAGATCAGATTTCAATCCTATTCAATGGTGCAGCAACAGCAACAGGTAGAAATCTAGATAGAGAAGTCATCCAGGGATACCCCTGAATAACCCTAAGCAGCAAACAGCAAGTGGATCAGGCTCACCTAGGATTGCCCTACAGCCGAATAACCTGCTGATATACAATGTCAAAACTCAACTCAAAGAAACACTCTTGCTGCACTGGTCTCAGTGTCGGAGATGGAACTGGAGGGGCAGATTAAGAGAAAGGAGTGGAGGGGAAGATTAAAAGATGGAACAGGAGGGGCAGCCCTTCAGGGGAGGAAATCTGCCATCCTCACCTGGTCTAGCCTACATGTGATTCCAGACCCACAGCAATGTGGTTGACTCTCAACTGTCCCCTGAAATGGCCTGGCAAGCCACTCAGTTGTATCAACTGCTACAAAGTCTCAAGAAAAAAATGAAACTGGATTGATCACCAGCTACAATAACTGCAGAAACAGCCATGTTGACTCCGCAAAGTCCTCTTCGCTAACATCTGGAGTCTAGTGCCAAAATTGCGAAAAGTGTCTCACAGACTAGTCAAGCAACAGCTTGACAGAGTCACACTCACAGATTCATACCTTAGAGACAATGTGTGAGACACCACCATCTCCATCCCTGGATATGTCCTGTTCCCACCAGCAGGACAGACTCAGCAGGGGTGAGAGCACAGTCCTATACAGTCAGGAGGGAGTTTCCCTGGGAGTCCTCACCATTGAGTTTGGATCCCATGAAGTGTCATGGCTTTAGATTAAACATGGGCAAGGAAACCTCCTACTGATTACCACGTACCGTCCTCCCTCGGCCGATGAATCAGTACTCCTCCACGTTGAGTAGCTCGGCAGTAGCACTACTGATTGAGCTGATCGGTCTTAAAGGGCATAACTACGAGAATGGGCTGTGGCATATGGTGAGGAATAAACATAATTGATCTCATCCTTACCAATTTTCTGGGTGCAGACACATCCATCCATAGCAGTATCAGCAACAGCGACCACGGTACAGTCACTGTGGCGACGAAGTTCTGCCTTCACATTGAAAATACTCTCCATCGTGTTGTATGGCACTATCATTGTGCTAAATAGGACAGACTTCGTACAGACCTAGCATCTCAAGACTGGGCATCCATGAGGCGCTGCGGGTCATCAACAGCAGGAGAACTGTACTCCAGCAGAATCTGTAACCTCATGGCCTGGCATATCCCTCACTCAAGCATTACCTTCAAGACAGAAGATCAACCCTGGTTCAATGAAGAGTGCAGGAGGACATGACAGGAGCAGAACGGCACATACCTAAAAATGAGGTGCCAACCTAATGAAGATACAAAGCAGGACTACTTACACGCCAAACAGCATAAGCAGCATACAGATTGAGTTAAACAATCTGGGATCCTGTCACATCTAGTCATGAATGGTGGTGGACAATTAAACAACTCACTGGAGGAGGAGGTGGCTCCACAAACATCCCCATCGTCAACGATGGAAGAGCCTAGCACATCAGTACAAAAGCTAAGGCTGAAGCATTTGCAGCATTCTTCACTCAGAAGTGTCAAGTGGATGATCCATCCCCATCTTTACCATGGTCCCCAGTGTCACAGATGCCAGTTGTCAACCAATTTGACTCACTCCATGTGATATCAAGAAACAGTTGGAAGCACTGGATACTGCAAAGGCTACGGACCCTGACAACATTGAATTGAAATGAATTAGTTTTACTGTCATGTACACTCAAATGAGTGCAGTGAAAAGTTTGCAATGTCACTGTTTATGGCACTATCTTAGGTACAAGATACCTAGGTACAGATATGTAAGTATTTGGTACAAAATTGAAAGAATAATAAATAAAGTCCAGCATAAGAATAAAAAGGAAAAAAAAGTACTCGATTCACAGTACTTTCACCCCAGTCCATGCCAGCACCTAGCCTCCAGACCATGCCGGGCTTCAAAACTCGAGGCTTCGCATCCAGTCTGCAAGGGACTCGCCTCCCGCACCAGCCTCCAGTCCGGGACTCACCTCCCGCACCAGCCTCCAGTCGGGACTCGCATCCCCACTACAGCCTCCAGTCCGGGACTCGCCTCCCCACTACAGCCTCCAGTCCGGGACTCGCCTTCCCACTACAGCCTTCAGTCCGGGACTCGCCTCAAGCCCGGGACTCGCCGCCCCACTACAGCCTCCAGTCAGGGACTCGCCTCCTGCTACAGCTTCCAGTCCGGGACTCGCCTCCCCACTACAGCCTCCAGTCCGGGACTC